TAGATATTTTGTTAAAGACTACTATTTCCCATGGTATGGGTATTCGGGTTGGGATTTTTGGTGAGTTTAGGGTTGAGGTATAGGTTGTTATGGTTTTGGGTCTTCAGGTGGCCTAGGGGGGTGGGCATGGTTAGAAAATGGAAATGGTCATTGCTAACTTATTATACCATGATTCTAACAAGGAGCCCCAAAAATAGTATTGGTAATTATTTGGGCCTCTACATGATATGATTAGGGGCTATAAGGGGATGCTGCTACTAACTATGCAGACCTCTATGGTCTGCGAGATGGTCTGACGTCCTGCAGCTCCCAGCCTCTAATGCGTTTGAAACGGGGTCCTTGTGTCACTGAAAGCAGGAGTATGGCGAACTCATACAACTGCTGCTGGAACTCCGACCCAATCCATATACTGACTATGACGAGGTACAGCCCCGACAAACCTAGAGAGACAGAGACAGAGAGAGAGAGAGAGTCGGCCTTTATCTTCTGCTCTTTGACGTCACGCTGGAGGGCTACCTGAGGCCGGACCGAAGACCTAAGTGCAAACGCCAAAGGCTTTCTGGAAGGCTGTCAGCGTCTTCTTATCCCCTTTGATGGCGAAGATGACGTGGGAAAAGGCGTCTTTCTGGCTCTCAAGGGCCTGCTTGAATGCCCAAGCCACTGCTTCAGGTGGGTGCTTCCTGCTGCCACACCCCCAGGCTCCTATCACCAGCAAACGATGCCCTCGGAGTTTACAGATTTCTATGAGACCACACATGCGTGCCAGCAAGTCATGATAGTACGAGTCCGACACATCGCGGAATTGAGAAGGAGGGGTGGCCAGGACAGAAACTGAGAAGTTGCTTGCCGGCTTGCCCACAACATGGTAGACCCTGACTCCAGGCACGTACACCGCATGATTGCTACCGATAGGGAAAGCCCTTTCAGCGACGGCCTGCCAGGTTGTCGACTGGCACAGAGCCCCCAACATGGATTGTCCAGCCGGGCCTGCCGCACCTCCAGAGCTCATCCGGCTGCAAGGGGACAATATCAGGGGCTCGGGATCGTTGGGAAACTTCTGCCTCAAGCGCAAGGCGACAGCCAGGAAATCTTCATCGCACACATCCACTTCAAAACATGGGACACCCTGGGTCAGAAGCTGATTCTCCACAAGCCTGTTGAAGTTAGGGTAATGGCTCACCTCTGGCTGCGGGAAGTTTCCTCCTTCCGAAACTGCTTTCTCTGGAATCCGTCCATTCCAGCATTGCCAGCAGTAGTCACAATAGCCAGAGCGGCCGTGTAGGGGGTCTTCAGAATTACACTGCCAACAAAAAGCACCGGAGCAATGTATGACAGCAGCCTGCTCTTCTGGCAACCAATCAAGCTCCGACCACGGCTCACAATATGTAGCCGGCTGCGACGATGTGTATGACAAGCTTGGAAGGACGGCCTGTTCATGTTGAAATGTACATCCGCATTCTCCGCATCTAGCATCCGGGAAACAAGTTTTGCAAAAAGCCACTTTGTTTCTGTCACCGCGACGCCGACAGTGACGCGTGCCACAGATACCATACCGTGTGCTCCATGGCACATGGCATCTAAAGCAAGCTGGTATTTCCAAGGAGGTTCGGGAATCCTCGCTTGCCATCAACGACGGTGTGGCAAAGAGCTCAGAAAGAAATGGCGAAGCTGATCTGGCAACGGCATACAGCGCAAAGAACTACTTACGAGGCTCAGGTGTGCTGAGGTGCTGTTGCACATGATGTTTCCCAAGCAAGCCCTTTCCAGGAGTCATTGGACCCTAAGCCCTAAACCCTAAACCCTAAACCCTAAACCCTAAACCCTCAGCCGTACACCCCAGCTCTGAAAGGGAGCCGATGATTAAATGCCCTGAGCAGGCTGGAACTCCTGACTCCAGTCTAAGGTAGAACCCATGGGCCCCTAGTGCGGGGCCTTAACCCTGGGACCCTAATATACCTACTATATATATATATATATATATACATACCCTTAAGGGACCCTAGAATCCCCTAAGGGCCCATGTTAGGGGCCCATGGGTTCAACCATTGATCCATGGAGCAGGCCTCGACATAGCCTTAGGAAATCGGGTGGTATGGAACCCATCAGCGAAGCCCTGACCACACGTATTTCCGCAGACCGCACAGTGAACCCTCTCCCCTACAGCCTGTTCAACAACATCTTTTTGGGAGCATGCTACAGCAAATAACTGCAGTAGTTGTCGGGTTTGGGGGGTTTGCTACAGTATATAACTGCAACAAGTAGAGGGGTTTTGGGGTACACCATAATACATAAGTGCATAACATAGGGGCCTTAATAATTAGAACAGGGTTTGGGGACCCATTATACTACAATTATACTCAGGAACCCCCAAAATAGCATTGGTAATTATTTCCCTGAACCCTAAACCCTAAAATATTTAGGTCCCTACATTAGGGGATATCCTTCACCTCCTTGGGGCTGAGTCGCAAGGAATAGTTGCCCAAGACCAGATTGGACTCAATGATCCTCCTGAGATGCGCGAGCTTAGTTGTTTTGGGGGGGTTAGGGTTTAGGGTTTAGGGTTTAGGGTTTAGGGTTTAGGGTTTAGGGGGTTCCTTTAATTAACAGGTTCCTTAAAGGGTTCTATAAAAGCTACTATAGGTTTAGGGGCCTAAATAGTTAGAATAGGATGTTGAGGGTTCCTTTCAAGGGTTCCTTAAAGGGTTTTATGAGGGTTACTATAAGGGTTTAGGGTTTAGGGGCCTTAATAATTAGAACAGGGTTTCGGGCTCCCTTATAGCATATTTGTAATAAGGAACATATTTATAATAAGGAACCCTAACGGTAATGTTGGGTCATTTTTTAGGCTTCTATATTAGGCTTTAGTGCTGAGAGGTTTGGAGGGTTGCGGGTGATACGGGTTTTGCTTTGAGGCTCGAGGATGTCAGGGATGTCAGGCTTATGGGTTTGAGGCTTAGGGATTAGGGTTTAGGGTTTAGGGTTGAGGGTTTAGGGTTTTAGGGTTTAGGGTTTAGGGTCTATGGGTTTGGGGCTTAGGAGTTAGGGATTAAGGATTCAGGGTTGAAGGGTACAGTATATGGGTAGTTCTCTGACTCAGGGTCCCTTTTAGGGTCCTTCCTATAATGGTGCCGTATTACTCTGGGGACCTAATTTAGAGAACTACCCATATTAGTTTAGTGAAGGATTTTGGGCTGAGGATGTCGGGGTTTGGGTTCCACAAGCTCCGTCAGCCAGGACCCTTAGTCCGGAATCCACGGTTTAGGGTTTAGGGCTTCATAAAGGGGCCTGAATAATTACCAATACTATTTTGGTGGTTCCTTATTATAGTTCTAGTATAATATACACCCAAACCCTATTCTATTTATTAAGGCCCCTATATTAGGGTTGAGGTTTCGACTGGGATTTGGCTCGCAGCAGATGGTCCTCACGTCAGGCTTTCGAGCCCTTTCTGTGCCTCAAAACGCCGCTGCTAGACCTGGAAGCCCGAAAAACACGAAACCCGCAAGTGTAACAACGGCCCATAAAGGATCCCTCGTAGACCCCTTAGAGGAACCCTTATAGGAGAACCGGAAGCAGAAACCACAAAAATAACACGGAGCTTCCCCAAAGAGGGAAACTCGAGGCTACTCACCCAAGCACACGATGCCTAACACACCCGTTGCTTAAATCACAGGTGGTTTCGGAACTCTGCCCTTAACCCCCAAATTCAGGGTTTAGGGTTTAGGGTTTAGGGTTTAGGGTTTAGGGTTTAGGGTTTAGGGCCCTGAACCCTAAACCCCAAACCCTAAACCGTAAACCCCTCAACCCAAAAGCCCCCCGACAGACTTGCACTGAACGACGGGCCCGGTCGAACCGCATAAACCTTTTGGCCAAATGAAAAGCACCAGAATAGGGTTTAGGGTTTAGGGTTTAGGGTTTAGGGTTTAGGGTTTAGGGTTTAGGCATCATGCTCCTAAGACCTACGGCAGTAGTAGCAGTCGTTGCCATAACAGAGACAACAAGCGACGGTAATCGTATGTAGAGTAGGAAGGGGAGTAACCAAAACAGCAATGGCCATAGATATGGCCACTACAAGTACAACAACGACAGCATTTGCGAACAATTGCGATTGCTGCTATGTACCACACAAAACAAGAATGAAAACGATAGTTTGACTGGCCGAATGGCACGGCGCCCTAAACCCTAAACCCTAAACCCTAAACCCTAAACCCTTGTTTCCTGGAGCCCCAAGCTCCAAGGCCTGAAGCTCCTTAGGCCGCTAAAACCGTGAAGCCTTGAAACACTAGGGTTTAGGCTTTAGGGTTTAGGGTCTAGGATCCGAAACCCTCGAACCCCTAGCCCTTAGCCCCCTGAACCCTAAACTCAACATAATGAGTCTAAAGCAGAATCGGCTGAACCCTGCATGTTTTATTGTTAGGCTTGAAGGAACTCCCCGAAACCCGAAACCCTAAACCCTATGATAAATGCAAACTGAGGCTCGGATTGTCCAAGAGACAACTCTCTGGTCGGACGCTCCGGTGGATGACTCGACGCTCGTGCAGAAATCTCCTAGGTTTAGGGCTTACTACAGGGACCTTAATAATTAGAATAGGGTTTGGGGCTCCTTTATAGCATGTTATAATAAGGAACCCTAAGAATAATACTGGTAATTATTCTTGCTTCTACATTAGTGCTTAAAGCTCAGCATGGAGCTTGGAAGGCTCGGGTTTGGGGTTGGTGGTTTAAGGGCTTGTGAAGTCAAGGGTTTAGGGTTTAGGGTTTAGGGGTTTAGGGTTTAGGGTTTAGGGTTTGGGTTTAGAGTTTAGGGTTGTGAGTTTGTGGTGGCGAGGCACCACAACGAAGGGCACGCAAAACCCCGAGACGCCGACCTAGAGGACCTACATCAGAGACACACTGATGCTCTAAACCCTAAACCTTAAACCCTAAACCCTAAACCTGAACCGTCCCTAAACCCTGTTTACGGTCTTAGGGTGAGGGCTCAAGTCGTGCAATGGTTGCGGTTCGGGGCGCAAGCCTCCGCACGCTCAGCACATTGGCTTTGATGGGCACAGTCCATGTATTGGGTTTAGGGTTCAGGGTTCAGAGTTCATGTAGGGGACTTAATTATTAGAATAGGGCTCGGGTGGGTATTATGTTTTGAAGTATATCGGATACCATTACGAACAGTTCAGACTCATATAGCACCCAAAGCCACTACCTACACCCTTTCGACTTCCACACTCTAAGTCTAAGTACGAAATCCGAACCCTAAACCCCCCAAAGCCTCAATTCGTAAGACCTGAAGCCTTCGCCCCAAGGCCCCGCACCCCCTCAATTTTGAACTCTACCTTAGGGTTTTTTTTAAATGCAATGGGCTCTCGACCTTAGGGTTTAGGGTTTAGGGTTTAAGGTTTAGGGTTTAGGGTTTAGGGTTTAGGGTTTAGGGTTTAAAGCTTAGGGTTTAGGGTTTAGGGTTTAGGGTTTAAGGTTTAGGGCCTAAAATACTGAACCATTTAACTCGAAATAACCCTACATACCCTAAAACCCAAACCCCCTTGTGGGAGCTAGGATTAGGGGGACCCTTGGGGATATAGACCCTCTCAATAAAGTCCTTTTTAAGAGAGCCAGAAGTAGGGTTCAGAGGGGGTACCCTTTAAGGGGTACCCCGAATAATACTACCTAATAAGGGCTGCTACCTTGAACCCTGAAGCCTTTTTGGGAGCCCTTTCTGGAAGTCCCCTGAGCCACAAAAACCAGACCGTCGCCAAGCTTCAGAGCAGACAGCAGCTGCGCCGTCCAAGCCAGGGCGACAGCGGGCTGGAAGTCTTTGGGGCTCTTTTTGGGGTTTAGGGTTTAGGG